GGAACTAGAATGCCCCCCCGCCCCCCAAAAACCCAAACTTTCAAATGATCACGTGACTCATGAAAAAAAAGGGAGGAGAGAAAGGGTATTTATGGTCTTCACAGTGTTTTAAACTCTTGGGTTTTGTGTTTTGAGGGCTGCAGAGAATTGTGGCTCTTGCTTTTATGAGTTTTGAGAGTGTTAAAAAGTCTTTTTTTTGGGGGGGGGCATTCTAGTACCCTCCAAAATTTTCCAACGACGTCGACATCGGCGATGAAACTTATCTTAAACAAACTAACGTTAACCATTAATCCTAATTTTATTTTTGGTCAATGAAAAATTTTATTCATTACCAAAGTGATGAGTTTGTGTACATCAAATTCTCACTGAAGTTAGTGAGATATCAACTAAAAATACAAGAAACTAAACCCAAATATCCATATGTACAAAGATATTGCTCACTGGAAACTGAAATTACAGAGAAAGTAGCCATTCTCTGTTTCTGTCAAGATCAGGCATATTTAGGATTGCAGTTAAAACATCCATCTTGATATCTTTCACTACTTGATCCACATTCTTGATTTCCTTCAGAAAAATCCTTCTATTCCTCTCATTCCATAACCTGTAAATAGCTGCAGACAATGCCATGCGTTTGATTCCTTTCCTGGGGTCTTTCCCCCTCAGTTTTGTACAAAACCAATCTAGAAGGAGCCCCCAGCAACATGTTTTCCATTTAAAATTCAACCATTCCATGATTTTGTTCCACACTGCACTGGAGAAAAAACACTCAAAGAACAGGTGGTTCCTACTTTCCTGACCTGCACCTGAGCACAAGCAACACACATTTGCATTGATGATCCCTCTTCTTATCAGTCTGTCCTGGGTTAGTAATCTGTTTTGAACTGTAAGCCAGCATATAAAAGCATGTTTAGGGTAGCACATATTATCCCACACTGTATTATGCCATTGCACCCTCTGAGTATTATTAGACAGAGCATAATATACTCTTGATATCTGTGATTTTGTATCATTGAAACAGGTACTGAGGAGATTTACCAGGTTATTCACTCCCCCACAATGAAGAATTGCTTTATCTCTTTGCTTGATCATTTGCTTCCATATCCAAGAGTCACTGTTTTTGACAGTCACATGCCATACATCCCTGAGATTTAAGTAGTTTCCATGGATCCATTTGATCCATAATGATTCCTTGTACACATGTAGATACCACAGATTCTTCAAGGTGGCTGCCAAATTCCAAACTGTAGCCGAAAAAACTCCCAGACCTCCTTGCTTTTTACCCAGGCAAACATTATGCCAAGCCACTAAGGGGATTTTATGAGACAAATTTGTTCTTCCCCATAGGAAATTTTTACACATTTCATCAATTTTTTGGGTTACTTTAACAGGCAGAGTGTAATTTGTTGTCCAAAAGACTTGAATACCCAAAATAACACTCTTGATGATTTGAAGTCTACCCGCATATGTGAAATTCTTGTGTTTCAGCCAAGACTGCAGCTGATTAGAAATTTTGCTTAAGAGATCACCGCAATCCATGTAAGATAATCTTCTAGGGATGAGAGGAACACCTAGATATCTGATTGGGAACTGTCCTTCTTTAATCCCCAGCAGGTTAATGATGTAATTCTTCAAATTTCCATCTACTCCTCCAAAGAAAATAGAGCATTTATCCTTATTTGCATCTACTCCTCCAAAGAAAATAGAGCATTTATCCTTATTTGCTTCCAATCCAGTGACTTCACCAAACTTTTTAATACACATGAATAATTTTTGGACAGTGTAAACATCTCCTCTTCCAAAAAGAAGTAAATCATCAGCAAAAGTGAGATGTGTGATATTGAGCGGCCGACACTTTGGATGGAAATTAAACAATTTATCAAATTTCAACATGTCCAAGCTTCTTGAAAGATACTCCATGCCTAAAATGAATAGATAGGGAGATAAAGGATCACCCTATCTTAACCCTCTCTCACCTTTGAAGTATCCATGGAGGGAACCATTAAAGGAGATAGAAAACTTTGGACTGGAGATACAAGTCATGATCCTATCCACCATAAAATCAGGAAAACCCAATCCTTTAAGCATTTCCTTAAGAAAATTCCAACTTATAGTATCAAAAGCCTTCTTTATATCTATGTTTAACATTATCCTTGGTGAGATGTGCTTCCTGGAATATCCTTTAACCAGTTCATGAGCCAAAAGAATATTACTTGTGATATGTCTCCCTTTAACAAAGGCAGTCTGAGATTCATTTACCAAGTGACCCATAACCATTTTTAATCTATTAGCCAAGATTTTAGAAATGAATTTATATATGCAATTGCAGCAAGAGATAGGCCTGAAATCAGAAGGTGTTTTGGGGCATTGCACTTTAGGAATAAGAGTAAGAGAGGTAGAGTTTACCACTCCCAAGAGTTTACAAGTTTTGAAAAACTCCTCAATTGCCAGAGAAATCTCATCTCCCACGATACTCCAGGCTGCTTTGAAGAAGTTTACACTATAACCATCAGGGCCAGGAGCTCTATTTTCAGACATTGAAAAGATGGCATCTCTAATTTCATCCTTTGATACAGGTTTAGCTAGCAGAGCAGTTTGAGCAGCTGTAAGACAAGGCCCAGCTTTAATGATATTTATATCAGGTTTTGCAGTGGGAACAGCTTTACCCATGAGGTTCTTATAAAAGGAGATAAATTCTTTTGCAATATCATCCCCACTGGTAATTCTCTGACCCGTATCATTGTAAAGAACCATCACTCTGTTATGGTGTCTATTTATTTTGATGACTGAATGGAAGAAGCTTGAACATCTGTCACCCTTCAAACTCCAAGAAATCCTGGATTTTTGCTGGTAGAAAGACAATTCACAGTCTAAAAGTCTATTGTAAAGAGCCATAGTTTCTTTTTCCTTGCTAATTAAAGACTGACATAGAGGATTGAGCTGAAGATTTTGTTGAATTTCCTCCAAAGCATGCTTTGCTC